CTGGGCTGAGCTAGAAACCACAAACGTTATTTTGACAGTGCCAGCAGACAATGTGCGGACGATGGACAATCCTGGGGTTCTTCTCACCATCTGGGACAACATGATGAAGGCAGTGGCCAAGTTAGCATCCGTCCCTGCTGTTTTCCCCAGGCCAGAGAGAATTGTGGCAGATGTTCAAATATCAGTTGGCAAGTACAATATTTAAAAATTCATACATATGTGGCTGAAAGTGGCATTTTGCACAATGCAGCAGTTTTTAGACAAGTGCAACTCACCCTAGAAAAGCAGTCCAGAGGGCATTGATGTGCTGGAAACTTAAGCTAGCTAGTTATTTAGCCATTTCACTCTCCTGACTTACCCCTGAAGATTTCTGGGAATTGTAGTCTGAAGGGCCAGGCGTGCATAAGAGGAATAATTTGGCATTCTACCAGATTCCCTTGGATCTGTGCCACCCGTTTCACATCCTAGGGCTTGGCAGTGAGCAATCTACATGTATCGCCCTGTGAGAGTACAGTTATAGCTTTCCTTAGGTCAAGGGTACGGGACTTATTTGGATCTACAAGTCAGATCCTTAGTAAGATTGGCCAGTTTTGATGGGTGAGTGGAGCCACCTGTCAAATCACCAGCTGTCACAAAGATGTCCACTATTTTGATGCTTTGAAGTCCCAAAGTTGGAGGGGGAAATGGAGCGGAGGGAGATACTCCTAAGGAGGAGTATCAGTCCAGTCCCCTTCCCAATGACAAAGGATTTGCATTGAAACTGCTGCCAAAACCAGGGGCATACTCCTCCATTTCAGCAAGAGGGAGGAAAACCTTGAATAATTGAAACCATCAACTGACATCATACTCTCCATCACAGTGACATCAGCTGATTAACAGATGGGTTGTTTTCTTAATGGTCTTGTGGGCCAGACTGGCTGGCCAAGATTGTCCCACAGGCCAGGCAACTCCACACCACTGCCTTAGGTCCTCCTTCCCCAAAGGTCTTTCATGTCATTCTCCCTCAGCCCACATGAACCTTTGCCCTAAGGAAGCCTGTTTGCTATATGAACACTTCTTTTCACAAAAGCTGGTTTCCCACAAGCATCTAGTTGGCCACTGTGAGAACAAGCTGCTTGACTAGGCCTCTTCTGATTTTCTTTAGTTGTCAACGTGTTCCGTTATAATGGGGCATAGCCTGAGGCCATATGATACAACCACCTTACTAAAACTAAGCAAGTTTGGATTGGGTCAAGTGCTTTGGTAGGCAGGAGGCTAGGAACCATGATGGAAGATAGAAGAGGATTCAGTCTTCTGTCCTACTCTCAAAAGGCAATGCACACAGGCTAATGCACAAATCCTAAACATGGCTGGCTTGGTGCCTTAGCCAATGCCTGCTCTGCCCCAACAACATTTAAGCACATCAATCTGAGTAGTTTCCTCATGTTTCCCAACAGACAACAGACACCTAACCAGAAAGCCATTTGTGTTGCCATGGTTTCCAAAGGATGGCCCTCAACTGCATGCTTAGACTATGTTTTATCTACAGCTGGTTCCTTGACATTCAGCTCCTAAGGGTCTATTTTGTGTGTCTTTCTCCTCACTCACCACTCCTTAGGTTGGATGCATGCTGGCTACCCAATCATGCTTCACTTGGTGTCAGTGCAAGAGATGATAGATGTGCAGTCCATACATGCCAATGGCCTATGGGGCCCCATTCATGAGCTAGGGCACAACCAGCAGCAGGCCGGATGGGATTTTCCACCTCACACCACTGAAGCCACCTGCAATCTATGGTCTGTCTATGTAAATGAGACTGTCCTGAACACCCCAAGAGAAAGGGCCCATGAGGAACTTCTGCCGGAGCTCAGAAAGGAAAGGATTGAAAATTACATTAAAAATGGCCAGCTAAAGGACTTTGAGCTGTTTACTGCACTGGAACCATATTTGCAGGTAAAATGCAATAAAAGTATATTAACATTCCATGCCTGGTTTCTGTGAGAATCAAAGGCTGTGGCTATGGGAGAAGCAAGAACCTCTTGGGCTGTTAATGCTATGGCCGCCACCATTGCAGGTTCAGGTTGTATATATGTGTAAATGAACCCTATATCATAAAAACAGCACAGTCTCTGTTGTCCCTCATTCTGAGGAAACATGAACCTTGGGTAAGTGCCTGGAACCCCTGGAATCTTGCACCACTTGGGGTAACATGCAACAAAATATTAGACAAAAAGGGCATTCTGAGCATAACTTATGGGTACCTCTTCCTAACTTTGTACACAGAAGCCATTATGAAGTACTTAAGAAAGGGACTGAATACACATTCTTTTTCCTGATTTTCAGCTGCAGGAGGCATTTGGATGGGAGCCCTACATGCGCATTTTTGCTGAGTACCAAAAAATGACCCAGATCCCAGAAGACAACGAGTCCAAGATGAATCTGTGGGCAGAAAAGTTCTCCCAGCAAGTGAAGAGAGATCTAGCCCCCTTCTTTCAAGCCTGGAAGTGGCCTATTAAGAAAGAGCTTTCTCAGAAGCTGGCCAGAGCCTTCCCCACATGGGCAGAGAATCCAATGAAGCAGTATGTGTCTCCATGAGGAATCAGAAGAGCTTGGATCTGAATGAATGAATCTGAATGACACAGTTAAATGGGATGAATCTGAATGACACAATTAAATTGAATCAACTTCAAGATGAATTCCGCTTAAAATTGCTTGCTGCTGGTTTGGGTTTGATGATTTGCCAATGCTTTTTTATTATTAGTGCCTCTTTCCTGTTACGGGTCCTATAGTATAGCTATGATACATAATAAAAGTGGAAATGATTATGAAGTCACCTGGCTGTCTCCATCTCCTTTTATGGGTTCTTTATACAGTACTGTTTTCTGCATTGTGTCTACATAAACTCATAATCTGGCAGCTAGCTAGCATATCAGGGAACAATCTGGTCCATATTTTCATGCATGAATCTTAAAGCAGCTCTTGCTTTCTGGAGCAAACACCTTACAGTTCCACCTCCTGCCTTGGCTTGGCTTATCCAAGACAAAATATTAACATAAATAGCACAATACTCTCAAACTGTATTGTGTGTGGCAATAGTCTTTTTATGGCTTAGCAGAATGAAAGGACAATCCAATCAGCTGATTTCAGGTTCATTTATTTCAGTGGGAGAGGTTTAACTGTGTGTTTAAAATCAACAGGCTTCAAAAGCATTTACCTGTGGTTGGATTGCTCGATCCCAGTGGTTTTCAAAGGGTGTGGCAGGAAGATTCAAGGAAAATCAATGTAGTATAATATCAAAATATTTATTTGCATAATTCACGTAGAAATATTTTCAAAAGGAAATCAAGGGCATCAAGTGATACTGAGGACAATCCTAGTTGTGTTTTCCCATGTGTTTCTTAGCAATAAAGAATTTGGTGTGCTGCAAGCAAAAAAAAATTCTGAAAGTGTGGCCCAGAGGAAAAAGTTTGAGAATGAGTACTCTAACCAGTAATATTAAATATATTGACAATTTCTCTGACCAATATGCTGCCTGCTTCCTCTTACTTCCACCTTTGGACTTGCCTTCTGCACCTTCTTAGCTTTGTCTTCTCCAATAACTGCTCTGTCTTCAACTTCTCTGCTGCAGAATTTCTTCGGCCAGACCACCACTTTGCAGATTCTTTTGCTTCGAACTTGCTGCATTAAAGTGAAAATATGGATTCCATCATGTGTACTAAAAATTCCGGCATCTGACAGACTTCATGGCAAGGCATATGATCACTATGAACTTTCAAGAAGAGGCACCCAGCCTGCCACTTTCTCAACTGGGCTTTCTCTCACAAAGAGAAAGAGCCCAGTTAGTCATTGTAAAGTCATTTCTTCACTGCAAGTTGGAGCTGTCAGTTACAGAACTGCACCACTTCCTTTGCTCCCCTTCTTGGAATAAGCAACAGCCTTTAATACTCGCTAAAACCTCACTAAAAAGGAACTGCAAGTGGCCTTCCCAAGTTGTGAGTTTTGTTTCTCTTTCCCCTTTCCTCCTTGCTTCTGCTGCAAATAGTCTGGGCTGATGCTATTAAAGCAAAGTATCCAGTTTATAACTATATGGCTGCTTCTGTCTTCCTGGTTGCAAAATCTTGCTTTGCAACACCCCTCTCCTTCCTGCCTGGACAGTTTGAAGATTACAAAAACGTATCAAATGGCAACACACACACACACACACACACACACACACACACACACGCACAGAGTCTCCCAGGTCTCTAAGGTGGATGCAAAAGTGACCCAAAAACCTCTGAGGCAGCATCTTTCTCATCCTTACCAAGTAAGGAACAGCAAATTCTGGCAGCTAATCTTCCTTTAAAGGGCTTTGTTTGTCTTGTTGCTGTTGATTACTACTACAGTTGCTGATTACAACTGTGCACTAAAACTTATATTTGCAAATTCTCCATCCTGAGGACAAATGATTGGCCACTCTTTTACAACACTACTTCCAAATATCCTGAAGGCCAGTCAGTTGTAAAGCATCACACACTCCAGCAAAGATTCAGTTTCTGGCATGGCCAAGCCAGCTTCCTGCTGAGGTCATGAACTTTGTGTTAGATAGCAGATGGACGGCCAACTCCCTCAACTCACCCCTCTCATTGTCCATTCTGGGTTGTCCAACCACTGCCACAGTGTCTTTTCTCCTGGCAGATAAAGAGGAGCGGACGATAGCAAAGGTTGCAAGGTTTTTAGCTGGGGGGGAAATAAGATCCACTGTTTGACTGATGATTCAGGACCCTAAACTGTGTTTTATTATAATTGACTTTTATTGTGTTTTGTGTACATCGTAATGCTTTTTTATTGCTATGGCCAATGGCTAATGCAAATAAAGTTTCATTCATTCATTCACCAGTAGTTAGAAGACGAAGCTCAGAGTTGAGAGTGGAGTTAGGTGAGCTAGAACATGGAAGATGGCAGGCTGCAGGCTGGGCAGAGCCAGGCTTGATTTCTGCTGGAATCCAAGGCTGTGGCTCTGGAAGAAGCAAGACCCTCTTGGGTGCTAATGCTGTGAGCCCCTCCATCATAGGCTCAATATCTTTATATCTTTCAATATTGTTATGAGTTTGTGGGCACCTTGACTCCCCTGAATTCCTGGGTCTAGTGGGTGTTGGAGTTTAATCAATGATTGGAGCATTAAGATGGGCTGCCAGGTATTGAGTTTAGCAGTGCCAAAATACAGGCCAAATCAGTTTTTCCTTGCTCAAGAAATTGCCTGGGAGAAGGGGGGCCATCAGCAGGGAACAAAGGCAGGCTGATGAGCCAGAAGCAAAGATGGTAGAGGGGCTCTGTGTTAGTTAGCGGAGAAAAAGGCAGAAGTGGTCGTGTTTCAGGATTGAAGGGGGAAAGGTTTTTCAGTCGGTTAGCAGCGATGCAACGGAGAAGCAAGCTAGGCGGCTGCCTGGGAGTCAGGAGTTGTGTGGGTGGGAGAGCAACGTAAGTTTCAGGGCAACAGGCAGGATGGCCGTGTCTGTTTGAAACCAGGGCTGCATCTATGGGAGAAGCAAGACCCTCTTGGAGTGTAAAGCTGGGAGCCCCTCCACTGCAGGCTCAGGTTGTATATATGTGTAAATAAACCATAGATCCTAAAGACACCACAGTCTCTGCTGTGCCTCATTTCCAAAGGAAACACGGACCCTAGGTAAGTGCCCAGAAACTCACACCACTCGGAGATTGGGGTGGTGTGTAACACTATATGCAAAAGTAGACTTTTAAACCTTGCTGAAAATCTTGCTGCTCCTGCTGAAATATCTCAACACATACACCTTGATACCTGGCATGGTGCCAGAGAGAACACTTTGAGAATTAATTCTGCTGCAGGAATGACTCCTACTCTGTAATCCTAATCCCACTTACCTAGGGGTAAATCTCATTGAATTCAATGGAATTTACTTCTGAGAAGACGTGGTTAGGGCTGGAGCTACATGCTACGGCTACATATTAATCACTTTCTACTGAACTTTGGATTCTCCCTATCATTTGAAAATTTCTAGACATTACATTTCTTTTGGAGCACAGTTGTGGAATGAGAATGCACACCTTTCTCATGTGGAGCCCATGCTCAGAATGGATTCAGTCTGTCCAGTCAGGGGGCCCATGATTAATAGTTTGAAGTGTTCTTTTGGCTCTAGATCATCCTTTAAATGGGAAAAGATACTGTATTTGTTTCACAAACATAATGATGCTTGTCCACTAAACACTGGACATCGTTCCAGTTATTCTTCATCTTTTTGCCTTTTCCTTTACCTATATGCATGACAACACAGTTTTCATCAACATTACTAGGTTCCTTGCTTCTCCAGAACCTGAAAGAGAAGACAATTAATGAAAGAAGGATGCAAAGCTAGGATTTAATAGACAAGCCCTGTACATTGGTCCAAATAGCACAAGGCATACCCAAGGCTCATTAAACTTTGGGTTCTCAGGAAATCAAAGAGGTCTCCAACGAACAAGTCAAGAAGGGCAGAAATGGAGCTATTTTGAGAGTTTAGTTTTCAGACGCCAAGATGGAGAACAACAACAAACGGATAATAGAAGCATAAAAAATGATGTTTTGGACTTAGGACCCCAAAGAAAGATCGTGCTGAACAAGCAGGACATATCCAAGGAAAATAACAATGTAAATATGCTTCTCATGGAATAAGAAAATACTTACCTCAAGATATTCTCATAGACCTGGCTCTGCCTGAATTTGGAGAAGCCAGCTTGACTGGAGTCTGAATGACTTCAGGCTGCCTCTCTAATTGCTACCAGGGACACCAGCGCTGGTGAATATGTTTTTTATGTAATCCTCTCTCTCTATTTTTACTTCTATATTGTGACAGGATTGTAGATTTCTTGTTTATGGGTACGTTGGTGGTGGCGGCGGCAAGGAAAAATAGGTATATAGCTCCGCCACACATTGCACCAATCCCCCTCACCCCACCAAATCTCTATTTGCCTTTTAAAAAATACTCTATTAATTTTGCACATAGTTTAGAAAACAATAAAGGACAGTTGGGGAGAAATGGTGAATAATGTTTGGATGGACAGTAGATGTAAATAATATAGATGACTAGTATATCTTATATGTCACAGAAGGAATATAAACATAGGAAATGAGCTAAAAAGATGGGGAAACTGGGACACATACAATTATCAATATAACTCTACAAAAACCCTACCATTTCCACATACTCCACATATATGCTGAAGCTGCTGTCAAGGAGTGTGGCAGCTGTGCCCTGTTGGTATTTTCAAGAAGATCTCTCCAAATTGCCCCAAAGCTTTCTGGCTTAATCCTACCAGACAATAAACTAACACGCCATGTAAGTTTTTCCTGTATAGCTGTTCTCCCACCATTTTCCAATGTCCCATTCCTCTAATATCTTCTATAGTAGCACATGCTGCCACTAGTAAAACAAAGTAAATAGTTTTATTTCTGAATTTTTCTACCTTCAAATATCGGTAAGTTTGAGGTATGGCTTGAACAGGTTCTCTAAGAATATTCCTTATTTCAACAAGAACAAAAATTGAACCAGAACATCTGAGACTGAGGGCACTCCCACCACAAATGAAAATATGTTCCTTTTTTTGGCCTTTTGTGAAGACACACATAATATTGGATTTGATTGGAGCTCCTGCACATGAAAGCAAACCCTAGCACCTAACTTTGTAAAAAGTATTCACTCCAGAATGCTGTGAACTACCAAAATAAAGAACAAGGGTTGTGTCACAGTGCTATCCCTATCCCACGACTGTTTGGTGAGAGGAAATATGGAGAGTTTGAAATTCCCTGCCAAACCCCTGGGGCCCTGGTTGCCTGAGCACCCACAAAATTCCCCATGAAAGGGCCAGGCACTCACAAATTTCAGTGCCAGGCCCGTAAACGCTGCATGACACCCATGTCCCTGGGCACCCACGGTCACAGGGCCAAGCTGGCACTCCTGGCCTTCTGCAACACAAAGCAGTATTTGCTCGACCTCAGCTGCCATCCCAATCTGCAATGCGCCTATGAAGCACATTTGAAAAGCACAATATAAATGCTAAATATAACTATTACTATGTAAGCATTACTCACATTAGCATGGGGTCAAGAGGAGTCTCATCCACCCAATGCCATTGATCTGTTCCCTTCTGATTTGTGAGACCGATACAAAAATTTTCCACTTGACTGTTCTGGGTATGGTTTGTAAGGAAACCCTGCACAAAAATTTGAACCAAACTTTCAGTTAATAGCAGTCTATACAGGTTAGCTGTCTTTGTGGAGCAGAGATCTTTGAGGATCCTTTTGTGTCAAACAAACCCCAAACCCAAGGCTGCCTGTCGTAGCATGTAAACACCAATGCAACTAAAGACCACAAATATAGCTGAGTGGTGGGAGATAGAAATGCTTCTTCTTCTAACATGCTGCTTCCAGGCATGATAAATGTAGCATAAGCTTCCCCAACCTGGAACCCTTCTGTTGTTGTTGGACGGCTCCCATCATCCCTGCCCAATGGTCATGTTGGAGGGCACCAGGTTGGGGAAGGCTGACCTATGGTAGCTCACCCAGCACCACACAGAGTGGGAGAGGGAGGGAAATGGACGGCGCATGCGCATTCAACTTCCTAAAAGCATCCACATCACACAGGAGATAACAGCTGCAGTGATAAGAAGAGTGTTCTATTGTCTGGAGAGGTCACTTCCTGGTTCACATGGAGAAGCTGTTCTCAACGGTGCCCAGTGAGGCAGCACTGGGCGTTGACATTTTGCGCCCTTAACAATTTTGCGCCTGAGGCCATCCCCATGCTGTGCCACTGAGCTCACCTGCTCAGCTTCTGAATTTATAATCACCAAGTCGAAGCCCTTCTTCATGCATTCTGCCCTGCTCTTGTTCCAGGTTCTTTCGTCTTTGGAGAAATAGTAGCAGCTGGATCCATATTGCTCTAGGTCCGCCATGCAGCATGACAGCTGTGGTTCTGTAAGGAAAGCAGAGACAACAAGAAGCAACCTGAAATCTTCTTGCAACTGGAAACAGGTCTCTCCCAGCCCTTTTCCAGATCTTTCTTTTGCTATTTTTCATCACATTCCGTTAAGTTGTCCTACTTTTTAAGTTGTACGTTCCATTTGTAGTATTGCGCATCCTTTGTTTTGTTTCAAAAATATGCACAGGGAAGGGGCAGAAAATAAGTGGACATGCAGAATTTAAAGGGGTGCAAAGAGTGCTGCTCACAGTGTGCACACTCAACTCACCTTTCCCTTTGGTGAGCCATCATTTGTTCTTCTTTTTGCATAAAGGAGCTCAAGGTGGCGTACAGTGTTCTCCCCATCCTCAAATCCCCACCACAACCATGTGAGGTAGGGTAGGCTCTAACCACTACACCACATCATTTACTGCTATTAAGATAGTGGGCACTTGTCCTCAGCTGAAAGCTACGCGACAACATTCAGCCTTCTACAGTTCCCCTTTTGAAGCCTGGGAGATTGCACAGGTTGCAGCAGTGATTTCCGGGCTCATGTGCCATTGTTCACATAAACAGACAAGTCCCATAAGTGAGGGAAGCAGCTTGGAGTTAAGTCTGCATGTTTATTTCTTAGTTGTTCAAGGGTTTGACTCGCCAGCAGGAATTCACATATTCAGATAGGCACTATAATTCAGATTCCATACGGGGTTTTCAGTGGGGATATAGTCCTAACCTGGCAGGCTTTGTGAACCGCAAATTCACCCCAGGGTAGCTGGGGCAACCCAGTCATCAGATGGGCGGGGTATTTATTTATGTATGTATTTATTTATGTATGTATTTTTATTTATTTATTTTATTTTTATTTTTATTTTTATTTTTATTTTTATTTTTATTGCTGGAATGCTGACTGTCTGGGAGAATGGGTGGAAAACTGGGAAGTGGGTGGAATGGAGTATTTGGGGAAAGGGCATGGCCAGCTGCCTAGAATCCTGAAGAGGACCAGGCCACATTGCAGCATTTCCTTGCAGCTCCCACTTGTGTTATGTGGTTCTCAAAACACTGGAACCAGTGCTTTTTTCTGGGAGTACTCAACAGTACACAGTAAAAAATGAAGTGTGGTTTTATCACCACCACTTTTATTATGGGAGAATATGCAACTTTTTTCTTTTGGCAGAAGTGAGTAAAACTTGCAGACATATTAGCCCCTCTGGAGTGGATCAAGGCAAATACATTCAGGAATTTTAATGTGAGACACATTTAAATGTTGTTGTTGTTGTTGTTGTTTTAAAAAGAAACCACTTATATATTTTAAAAACTTTTTGGCAGACTATTCCAACTGCATTTCTGGATCAATTCCTGCTTTTAAGGGGCTCCTTTAAATAGGGGGTGGCTCGCTACTTTTTATTTTAAAGCGTCTAACCTTTAGTCACATACTGACGCGGGTGGCGCTGTGGGTAAAAGCCTCAGCGCCTAGGGCTTGCCGATCGAAAGGTCGGCGGTTCGAATCCCCGCGGCGGGGTGCGCTCCCGTTGCTCGGTCCCAGCGCCTGCCAACCTAGCAGTTCGAAAGCAGCCCCGGGTGCAAGTAGATAAATAGGGACCGCTTACTGGCGGGAAGGTAAACGGCGTTTCCGTGTGCTGTGCTGGCTCGCCAGAGCAGCTTCGTCACGCTGGCCATGTGACCCGGAAGTGTCTCCGGACAGCGCTGGCCCCCAGCCTCTTGAGTGAGATGGGCGCACAACCCTAGAGTCTGGCAAGACTGGCCCATACGGGCAGGGGTACCTTTACCTTTACCTTTAAGGTGGCTTCCTTTGTTGCCCATCAGATCCTCTAATTCATAGTGACTCACCTTTTCCTTCAGGTCTCTTCAGGAGGCAATTCCATTCTGTTGATTTCTGAAACTGGCTTTTGAGGAATCCCTTCTTTGGACTTCCTTTGAGGATAACTGGGAAAAGGGAATGAACAGCAGCACCATATAATACTGCAGAGTCCAAGAAAAAAGGCTTGGCCGCAGAAGGAGGTGTTAACACAGTGATGAACCCCTGAACAGTCTGGAATTGGGCACCTCTGCAGTAAATCCTGAATGGACGGACATATTCAAAAATGCCAGATCAGCTGCCACTGCCTAGTTCACTAAAAACTACAGTGGTACCTCGGGTTACATACGCTTCAGGTTACAGACTCCGCTAACCCAGAAATAGTACCTCGGGTTAAGAACTTTGCTTCAGGATGAGAACAGAAATTGTGCAGCGGCAGCAGCAGCGGGAGGCCCCACTAGCCAAAGTGGTGCTTCAGGTTAAGAACAGTTTCAGCTTAGGAACAGATCTCCAAAACGAATTAAGTTCTTAACCCAAAGTACCACTGTACTGATTATTTAAGATTAGCAGGCACCACTCTCTCACATAATGATGCATTCACTGTATCCTCAACCAAACCAGTGACTTCCCTTTGGATAATCTGAATCAGCCATGATGGTCAAGAGAGCAAGTGATCTATCAAACCTTTTGGTGCTAGATTTTTTTTAAAAAAGGAGATTACCTGAATGGATGGGAAACAGTGAGTGAATATGAATGAGGATTCTGTTTAATTATGTTAGTGCACCCCTCATCACAACATGTCCGATCCAAACTTCATCAATTTGAAGGGCATTTGTCAGCTGGAGAGCTTTTGGGTTCTGTCATACTCTCTGCTAAAGGGAGAGAATACCTACTAAGTCTACTTACATCTAGCAGGCTTTATTTCTCCCTGCTTTACTCAGAAATTTTATGCAACCATTTAGCAGAATCTTCCCCTTTCTCTTAAGTTCAGTTTGCTTTTTACTCACCAATGATGAAAACAAGAAGGATGACAGAGAGCAACATCAAAAACCCTGACACCACCCACGGAAACCAGGGCTTGCATTTCTGGAATGTACTAAGTGGTTTTTCGCTTCCTGAAGATGCTGAAAAGTGAAAATGTCACCATTACAAAGGTAAAGGGTACTTACTCAAATGCACTCAGTGCAAGCTAGTTAACCCTTAAAATGTCTAATCATGCTGTTGCATCACTGTTGCACTCGCAGTCACACTGGCTGAAGAATAATGACCTATGGGAAAGCTAGTTCTGTGCACTAGAAACCATATGCCAACAGCCGTCTGTAAAGTGCGACAAGACTCTCTGTTGCTTGGGGGACATAATGACTCAGTAGCAATGACTTAGGACCATGCCTTAGTAGTAGAGGACATGTTTTTCAGGCAAAAATCCCAGGTTTGATCCCTGACATTTCCATTTAGGGCTGTGAAATCTGGAATATCACTGCCAGTCAGCATAGATGGTCTAGAGCAGAGGGACCCTCCCATTATGTTGGAGCCTCCAACCTCTGGCCATGGGGAAGACAGTCGGCTGGGGATGATGAGAACAGGGGCTTCAGAACATCTGGGGACCGGCCAATGACATGACTGTCTAAAATAGCTTCTTATGTGCCTGCTCTGCACTTCTCATATACACAAATGCCTTGTGACTATGAATCATTTTTTAAAAATCCACTGCCCGCAGATTTTTGGGGAAGATTACAAATTCTCTATAGGCCACTTATGCAAATTGGTTTTTGAGTGTATTTCCCCATTAACTATAATTCTGCTGGGCATTAGCACATCATGCAAGTTGATTCTGCTTGGCAGCCGGAAATTTGTGGAATGCTGGTGTTCAAAAAAGCTGACATGCACATTCGCGTGTATGGAATATTGGGGAAGTGGGGCTTTTTAGCCAAAAATAGCCTTTTGTTCATTTCTCAGACCCACTAGTCCAGAAGAGATGTGTACCATTCCTGTTTTTGCCTCTGAAGCCATTTTTTGCTTGATGCTTGCCGGTTAAGTTGCACCTTCTCTAGTCTGCTTGATGAATGCTCTAAAAGGAAAAGGCTCCTTGTGCCATCTTCTTGAAGGTTACGTGTCTCCAGATGGAAATCCCAAGAAAGGTTTTAAAGTGCCATACTTTTATGGGCAAGCAGCCCATGGCATACGAACATGAGATGGAAGAAAGAGTCCACCTCATCCAGCAGCCATTTCCCACAGAGGCCAGACAGCCAGATGCCAACAGCGCTCTCTCCCCTCGTGCTCCCCAGACTAGTATGCAGTGGCAGACCGTCTCCAGTACTCAGTGCCAAGCGTGGCCGTCACACCTTTCAATGGAGGTCACTTTCCCAGTTTGAATATGACAACATGGCCTTTACCGTTGTGAATTTGTCTTACTTCCCCACCTAGTGCTCGCGACTTCCACACTTCAGCCATGCACTCTGTGCAGAAGTACACTCTTGTCTGCCCCAAACCTCTTACCAGCCAGCTTCCTAAAGATGACCTTGAGTTCTGGTATTGTTGGAGATGGAGGAAAACTTATTCATGTCCACTTTTTCCACATATCCACTTTATATACCTCTTATCATGCCTTTTCCCCAAATGAAGAAGCCCTAAGCATGATAACCTTTCCTCAGGGAAAAGGTTTTCTGCCCCCAATCTGAGTCAGCCACCCCAAGGGCCTAGGTACCATGACTAGCAAATGTCAGACCAACCAGGCAGGGTCTTCCCTTTGGCAGAGTCCTCTTTGGAGAATCGCTCCTTCAGAAAGCCTGCCATGACCATTCCCTTTGAGCTCTTAGGAAAATCAGTGGGGTGGGGTGAAATTTTTCATAGGGGAACAGTTAAGGCCAGAGGCTTATGAGGGAGATTTGCGGGGGGACGGGGACATTGTGCACATGAACATCGCGCTTCCCTCCCTAACCTGGGGAGAAGCCTCCTGGGCTTTGGGAAGGAGGCAACAGGCCTCTGACAGGATGCTGTCCTTCCCAAAGCCAGGAGAGCTCTTGGACCCCATCAGGGCACCGGGCCTTATTCCCTGGGCTTTGGGTAGGAGGTGCCAGGGAAACATTTAGGGGACTAGCCTAGAACCCCTAGTCCATTGTCCAGAACCTCTGTGATGCGTTTTTAGACGTGGAGGAAGGCACTTCTACATGGGGTCTGGCAGGGGGGCAGTCTGAAAGATTGAGTGCTGCAGCTCAGACCCTCGATGGCTCTCACCAGCCAGGGCAGAAAACTGGCAGGGAGGGAGGATTTTGCTAGAACTTTTTGCTACTCTAGCTCCAGGATGATGTAGCTGAGGGGCCCAAAGATCAGGCCCCTCAGGGATCCAAAGGGCTTTGGATCTAGCAGATATTTTGAATCCTGCTTTGAAGCACCCAGTTTTGTAGCTTTCTGCTCTCTACTGCGTATGAAAGATCCGATGGTGGCTGCTTACTGCCTGCCCAGGCAAGCCTAGGGTCTCTTCCACGATGAAGCACCCCCTTTCCATCGGCCAGCAGAGGTCATTGAAGCAGAGGTCAGTGGGAGCAGATGGCATACAATCCAACCAATTTTGATCGGGCTTGTTTATGGATTTTTATTTTGCAAGTTGTCTTGAAAGCTCTGCTGAGATCATTAAGTCCAAAGTGTAAATTTAAGAAATAACGACACCAGCCAGTAATAATAATCTACCAGAGACCATTAAAGTGAGGCACACCTGAAGGTCTCCATCTTACTTCTTAAGCATTTTCTAATCTCACATTTATCAGAAAGGAATGGATGGCAACCAAGTGGCAAAAATATAAATGCACCTCCCTTCCTCAAGTTTCTGTGTGTGTTTGTTAATCTCTGACAAAGGAAGCTGCACTATTCTGATCCAGGCTGTACTGTTTCCTCCAACTGGCAAATTCCCACATATCCCAAGAGAGTAATGGGATTACACAGGGGTCAGCAAGGTTTACCTCACCTGGGCCCAGATCCCTCCATGGGCTGGATTGTGCGTGCGCCCGTGATTTCCAGCGTCTGCATCGACATGGCTTCTGGCGCCATGGAAGCGAGTCCCCACGCTGCACCGGTTTAGCGCAGCACACGGGGACTCACCGAGCGGGTGGCTCGGTTCGTGGGTGGCTCATGGGCTGGTTAAATGACCCCCGTGGGCCACTTGTGGCCCATGGGCCTTAGGTTGCCAACTCCTGGGTTTACAGGTTGGTTGGTTGGTTGGTTGGTTGGTTGGTTGGTTGGATGCAAGAAAGAATTATTTTGGTCCTATGGAGTGGTTCAATCTTGTAATAAGCATTTTTTGTAATTAAAAAATAGATTGTAAGACTGCTGCCATATTTTCTAACAGCCAGCAATGTTTTCCCACTGCTAGGTTTCCATACTAAAAAAGTATACACTTGTCTGAATTCTGCCTGCTCTGAATTTAAATAGAACAGTAGATCAGAAAACTGAAAGGGTATTCTATAGCCAAGCTGTCCTAAAACAACACAACTGGAGAAGAAGCGCCCAGAGGCTCGTTTCGGTTGCCGACCCCCCAGCACACATGCCCTTGCACCCCACCGGCAGATCATTACCTTTGGGTTCAGCAGATGAAGGCCCGTTGTTCTTGAACCTCACTTCAGCATAGGTGACCTCTGAAGTCATTGGAAGAGTCCTTTTCAAAGCTTAAGGTGTAACTGGTGGAAAGGGATTTGCATTTGGTTTGGAGAACAGGTTACAAATGAAAGCTCGACTAAAGCAAGGGGTTTCTAACTCTCCCTCCCATGAGGGGTCATATTAGGAAGTCTTTGTTCTGTCAGTACTTCTTCATTTGGAAAGCTCCACAAGAGCTGAAGTGAAATAGGAACTTCCAAGATGGAAAGGGGAAGTCCTACCAGCCCAGTCCCCCAAATTAAAAGGCAATCTTCGCAGTGATTGGCCACTGTCTCGCCTTGCCCTGGGCTCACCCCTCCCTTCCCTCAGATTGTGCCACATTTCTGGTCAATGCAAAGCGGAAATAACGTCAGTTTACCAGAAATAGAATAAAACGAGGAAATGGAAGACAAGACTATCTTAGGCCATCTGAAATCATGGTGCAGTTATGGGTTGGTAGAGATAAGGAGTATTTTCACAAACGAGTATTTTAAATCCTGTAACAAAATAAGCAGTGAAATAGGAGGGCCATGTCCACAATTTTTCAATATTTACAATTAAGAAATATAGCTAATTGCTTAATGACAAAATATTGCCCATTGTGGGATGCTACAGATGTGGAAAGCCTGGTGGTAAAGAAGGAGAAGATCAAAGTTACTGAGTAAAGGTCGGCAGTTCGAATCCCCGCGGCAGGGTGCGCTCCCGTTGTTCGGTTCCAGCACCTGCCAACCTAGCAGTTCGAAAGCACTCCCGGGTGCAAGTAGATAAATAGGGACCGCTTACTAGCGGGAAAGTAAACGGCGTTTCCGTGTGCGGCTCTGGCTCGCCAGAGCAGCGATGTCATGCTGGCCACATGACCCGGAAGTGTCTGCGGACAGCGCTGGCCCCCGGCCTCTTGAGTGAGATGGGCGCACAACCCTAGAGTCTGTCAAGACTGGCCCGTACGGGCAGGGGTACCTTTACCTTTACCTTTTTAAAGGGCATGGACTTTCTATGAGCTGTGATGCTTCTGCTACTGCACATCAAACTAAATGGGAAGAAAACCTGGACTGTGAGATTACAGCTGTCAGTGGAGGTGGCACACTGTCCCACAGCAAACTTTTAGTACTACTCTTAAATAATGTTTTGTAAATTTCTGTTTTGTTGGCACTTGGGCTAGGCTAAACCAAATATATCCAGGGGCAAATAACAAATGTTGGGAATATGATACATCAAATGCCAATATGCTCCGTATGTTTCAGTAATACTGCAAAATAAAGATTTTCCGGACAAATATCTTGAATGAATGGTGAATTTTATATTGTTGTACGCGCCCTGGGACCTTCAGGTGAAAGGCAGGTAAGAAACATAATGACAATAATGGTTGGGGCACATATTAGACAGTCATCTTGGAAAATTCCAAAATGCAATGATACTCGGTTTACAAACTTCATCCGTTCCGGAAGTCCGTTCTTAAACCAAAACCGTTCTTAAACTGAGGTGTGCTTTCCCTAATGAGGCCTCGCGCCACCGGTGCCCTTCCACCATTTGGATTCCATTCTTAGGTCAAGGTAAAGTTCTCAAACCAAGACACTATTTTCGGTTTGGCAGAGTTTGTAAACCAAATCGTTCTTAAACTGGACTGTTCTTAAACCGAGGTACCACTGTACTAGGCAAACAATATGCAGAAAGGAATTAAACTGAATCACATTTGCCCACCAGATGGCAGCACATCATTAAAACAGTGTCCTATGGGACGTAACGTTGACAGGTGCAGAGAAAGGGCATTATTTAAGTTATTCCTCTGCCACGGTGCTAATTCCTGATTCAGGGGAACTTTCCAAGACTTGGGCAATGGATGTGACTATTTGTTGTGCATGGCCCACTTATTTCCCTTTTTTGCAGGGATATAACTTTTCCAAGTTACAGGATGTGTGAGAAGCCTCACAAGAGGTGCACTGCTTCACTGTCACGAGTGGGATGGCAACAGTGGCAGAACCAGCGCTCCCCCCCCCCCAATTGCAGGTTTCCCATGCACTGCATCGCAACACCTGAAGAATGCTTTAACCTCCCATTTCAGATTGAGAATCCATCCACCGTTAAGCTCAACATAGCATCCAGATTAATGTTTTAAACTCTTCTCTATCATTTTCCTTCTCTCTCCCTCTCTGTGCTTACCTTTACTACAGGCAAATTCATCTGGCAATCTTCCTCCTCCAATAAATAAGGAGTTGGGAGAATGAAGAGCTCATCTTGAAGGTCTTGGCAGACACCGCCAACCGGAAAAGCTTACCTTCAGCCCTTGCTATGGGTAAGGTGGTGAGTTTGCTCTTGATGAGCTTATACTCCCTCTGAAAAAGTGGGTACACAGCTCGGTGGCATTTCTGGAGCCTTTGCTGTCGCTTGAGGCTCAGCTGGCCTTGGTGGCCTGGAGCACCTTCCATCAGCTTTAGCTGGTGACAGAGCTGTGCCCCTATCTGGACAGAGATAGCCCAACTACTGTCTTCAATGCTCTGGTAATCTCTTTAGATTAAGGGACGCGGGTGGCGCTGTGGTCTAAACCACTGAGCCTCTTGGACTTGCTGATCAAAAGGTTGGCGGTTCGAATCCCCGCAATGGGGTGAGCTCCCGTTGCTCAGTCCCAGCTGCTGCCAACCTAGCAGTTCAAAAGCACGCCAAAAAGTGCAAGTAGATAAATAGGTACTGCTTTGGCGGGAAGGTAAACGGCATTTCCGTGCGCTGCTCTGGTTCGCCAGAAGCGGCTTAGTCCTACTGGCCACATGACCTAGAAAGCTGTCTGTGGACAAACGCCAGCACCCTCTGCCTGTAAAGCGAGATGAGCGCCGCAACCCGAGTCCTCTGCAACTGGATTTAACCAACAGGGGTCCTTTACCTTTTAATCTCTTATATTACTGCAATGCATTATATGTAAGGCTGCCTTTGAAGATGGTTCTGAAACTACAGCTGGTGCAGAATTCAGTGGCCAGCTGCATTTTGGTGTAGAGCAAGAAAAGAGAGACTTTGAAAATCAACAGTGCACAGATGATGAACATGTTATTGCAGAATTCAGCAGCCAGGCTGCTCATCAGGGAAAGATGGTTTGAGCACATTACACTGATTCTGGTCTGACTGCACTGGCTGCCAGTTTCCAGTCCCAATTCAAAATACTGGTTTTGACCTATAAAGACTTAAATGGTTCAGGACCACAATACTTTTAAGGGTCACCTCTATCCAAATGAACAGACCCAGGCCTTGAGATCCTCATTTGAGGTCCTTCTTCATTTGCCTACTCACTGAAGAACCAAGAGAGACTGTTTCACCACAGGGAGACACATGAATTCTTAAGAGGGTACCAGGCATGTATTAGTATCACTTGATTTACTAATACATTGCTTTACACACACACACACACACACACACACACACACCCCAAAAACACAGCCACCCCAATTTTATCCTTGATTTTAATTGCTAATATTGAACCAGTACATCTTATGCTTTATATACATATAGATGAAATGTTACTTCAGTTTCTGCCAATACATAGTACATTATCTTGATAATAACAACTTAAAAAAACAACAATGGAGGGAGAGGCTCCTGATTAGTCTCTTCAAGATATTACCAAATACTTGAGGTCTGAACAGAGTTACTGAAATGATAAGACCTGCTACAGATATGGAATATTCGGCCAAATCGAGAATTCTTCGGCTGGCTTATATGATAGCACAAAGAAAGGAACTTGAAAACAGTTTCTAACCAGCAGTGAAACAAGAAAAAGCTGAAGAAGCAGATAAGCTTCGGGTGTGTCTCAGTGAGTGAGATGAATATCTGGGTATTTAATGAATGGAAAGCCTTAAAAAGCAGGCCTCCACCCCCCAAATCCCACAAGTGAAGTAGCTAGAAATCAGAGACAAGATGTGCATACAACTTTACAAAACTCCTTAGAAGACTTTGCTTCCCAATTACTAACTAACAGAATTTCTGTAAGCTATTCTGGTATCAAAGAATTCAGAAAAGGGTTTGCAAGGACATGATCAAAGGAGAAAACATCATGATACTTGTTCAGAAGTTCCCCGATTCAACTATGCCCACCTAGAAGCACCAAACCACAGGGTCACAGAGGACACCAATTGTGTCTACATACAAAGCCTCTAGCTGATATTACAGGACAGTGACTACTGCCTATTGGCAGAACAAGAAGAAACCACTGTGAAACTTACAAATCTAGTGTTCGGTAATGAAGTGCATCTTGCTGCTAGAAGGTCAAGCAAAGCAGGTGCTTTAAAAGTTATTTCCAGCCAAGAGAGTGAAGGGAGAGGGCTGCACAGCCACCAAAGTAGCTGGTGGGACAAAAGGACAGAGGAACTACAAAATAAGGAGCTTTGTACAGGATGTGCAGCGCGGAAGAGACTCTGCCCAAGATAACTTCATGATCCACTAATATTTGCTGGGGAAGAGACTATCACAATATAACAAGGTAAATCACACTGGCCAAAAAGTACAATTTCAAAACCTGAAATTCATTTTTTGGAAGTCTGTGCAGAGACCTCTCTGCTGCTTTGGCCAATCTGGTGACAGCAGCCTGCCATTGGCAACAAACTATGCGTTAAGTGCCTAGACTTCTTTCACATTAACCAACACAATGAAAGTGCAGAAGTTCCACCAAACTTGAGTGAGAATCGGCACCGAGCTGCCTTGCCCAGAGAGAGGATTTCCAGAAGACACCGAGCTCCTCCTCCTCCTACCAACTGGCAAGCAGGCGGCTCTGCTCTTGTTCCCAGTAAGGATGGAAACAGGAGAACGCCTTGCCATCCTAGCGCCGTTTACACACATTTCCAGTTTTAAAGGCGCCAACTGTCTTTAGTGCTTTGGGGCGGGGAGGGGAGTTGAGGGATTTGTGGGACCCTAACGGCAGGGCTGCACCGAAGACAGGTTTGCACAGAACCCCGTCATCCCTCCCCTACTACAGATTTGACGGGAGAAGGAACATTTGAGGAAGAATTAAATTAATTCCATCATAAAGATGCTACGACAAAGCAGCCTGTCCCAGGTAACTCCAGGGTGGCTTCTTCAAGAATGGCTTTTGTTTTCCTTCTTGGTTGAAATGTACAAATTAGTGTCAATTACAGGGTTAGGGTGATTAGCAGTCAGCCTGCAAATCAACCTGCCCCAGCTAAGGTCACTGCTGCTGCTGTGGAAGCTGGGAGAAGAAAAGGGGAGCTGAGCCTACCTAGCAAAGCCAAGTCTGTGCAATCTTCCCCCATTTCACACAGTGTCAGCTTAATTCTCCCTCAAAGAGGCGGCCACTAAGCAGGCAGGTATGATTTATAGAAGCCAGTCAGGGCCCCCACTCTTCTGAAGTGACCACAGAGCACGCCTCGGCAGTTCTGTTGCATGAGAGGAAAACTGAACAAATCAAGGCAAATGGGAAACATTAACAAAAAGAGGAAGATTGTCCAGAAGTCAAGTTTTGACTGAAGAGCCAAGGACATCAGCTCACTCCCCTGCCACTTCAGGCGCCTCGAGTCTCCGTCATTGGTCCATTCCTACGTCACCAACTCAGATTCTTTCAGAATTGGACCCAGTTGGGTGCCTGGGGCGATTGGCTGGGAACTGTGCTGGGGAGAAGAAAGGAAGAGCAGTGTTAATGAGGAAAGTGGCAGCCTCTGGTGCTGGTTCA